CTTATTAAAGGCACAGCAGCAACATTTAAAATACCGATTCCCTTTTCTTTAGCATAATTAACAGTTCAGAGGGATGAAATAATCGCTATAAAAATGTTTTTTTAAGTTCCCCAACGCCGATATCTTGAAAAAAAAATGTTTTATGAATGAAGCCCCTTTCACTTTGTTACCCATAAAGAAAGTCCACGTCATTTATGACATATGTGCCTAGAAGTCCCTTGATCTGATCTAATTAAATACACAAATTAAAGATACTGTTGAAAGAAAGCCGTGAGAATGTCAGGATAAATATTGTCACTTGTCATGAATGGTAAGAGCCAATATATAAACTCGCTATTCTCTGAGGCACGGTGATGGAGGCGTCATGCTTTTGGGATATATTCCTTTAGCAATGAGAGAGTGGATAAAGTTCATATGAAGATGGATACAGCTAAAAACAAGACAAAAAGGACAAGTAAAAAAAAATGCAAAAGGCTTCAAAAACTCATGACTTTTCTAGCCAAAGCTACAGTGATGTGATTTAGATCAGGCATCCCCAACCTCGGTCCTCGAGGCCCACTGTCCTGCAGGTTTTAGAGGTTTCCTTGCTCCAGCACAGCTGATTTTAATTGAAAGCTGATTAACAGGTTTTTGCTCTACTGCATTCATTATAATTAGCTGTGCTAAAGTAGGGAAACCTCTAAAACCTGCAGGACAGCGGCCCTCGAGGACCGAGGTTGGGGATGCCTGATTTAGATTATAGTAGATTTATGTGGTAGAATGGCCTAGTTAAAGTTCAGAGGTGAGAATACCCAGCAATTTGTGGCTATGATGATAAATAAATGGCTGGGTTAATGCTATGATTATTTGCCTATGTATTTTAATTGGTGCTACTTTGTATTTTATGCTTCATATTTTAGAGCACTTTGGGACACTTCTCTGAGAAAGGTGCCATATACATAAACGTTACTTACTTACATATAAATTAACTTTTAAGATCTTTGTTTGTACAAATTATGACAAGTCATTATGTTTTTTTTACTCTACAATGCTGAACTTCAAGCAAATTGAATAGTTTTGCAAGCCAGTGTATTTTTTTTTTTGACATAATGTTAGCTGTTAAGTTATGTTAGCTGTTAACCCCGCCTCTCGCTCATTGACTGCTGGAGATAGGCACCAGCACCCCTCGCGACTCCACTCAGGACAAGCGTGTCAGATGATGGATGGATGCAAATTCGAGACAACATGAAAGACAGAAGGTGAAAGAACCCATAGAGAGTTTTTACATAAAAGTCCATAAAAGATGTCAAAGTAACAACACTACTCAGAATAACTAGCAACAAAACATGACTAACTCAAACCAACTACTCAGGCAGGGTAGTTCATCGCAGGACAACAAAGAGACATACAGCAATGCACATAAACACACCTAAGGACAATTTAGAGAAGCCGATTAAACTACCTGTCCATAGCTGTATATTGATTATTTATTCTCCAGGTGCATAGTTTTTTTATACTGTTAAAACACTTTACATTATGGTATTTTATTGTTTATCTTTTATCTGGAAGTTGTTATTCTTATACATTTTTAAGCTCAACATTTCTGAGACCATTTTCTCTATAATCTTTCTGCTGCTGTAAACACCAGAATTTCCCCATTGTGGGACAATACATGGATTTTCTTTTCTATTCTATTCTATTCTATTCTATTCACTAATGTAAGCTGAAGTGGACCTCTCTGATGATCTAACTCTTTCAAAGAACATCACTGGGATTCTGAGATGGACCAAACAGGGACGTCAACATTTAATGAAATAAGAAAAATAAAATTTGACCTTAAACTGAACAATAGACCATAGTTAGAGTTTGGTTGGCTAGATGGGAACAGTTAAATAAAATAAATCAGTTTAAAAAAAGTAATTGAACAAACAAGAGTGGCTAAATGAATAATCTATCTTAGCTACAGTGGTTTTGAAAGGTGCACAAACTATTATGAGCCCAGCTTTTACAAAGCTAAAGATAAATGAGGATGAAACATCCTTTTCAAACTTTTATCAAATACACCATAACATGCATCTTGTCCAATTTCATTAATACATTTCTTAGATGGAGAAAATACACTAACCTGGTTGGATACCATTAAATACATTTTTTATTGGATAATCTCTTTCAGTTTTCTTTGCTGTTAAGTTCACACATTCCACCAGTTATAGTTCAGACTGAGTTTAGCCACACAGAACTCAAGCTACGGGTTTGCTTAGCAGATTGGCTAAGATAAATTAAAACTGTTGCCATTGTTTAAAGGTAAAATGTTAAACAAAACATCAGTGTGGATATTTTTAGACAATTTGAGGGATACATGTCTTTAGGATTTTACTTTAAGTTTAATTTAGGCAGATTTAGCTTTATCCTCGTCAAGATAAAAAAAAAAGATGAAAAAGATGGCTACAATTTGTTTAGATGGTGATATGACAAAAGGAACATCCGCAGAAAATCAAACAATCCTTCTTGGGGTCAGCTTTCAGCTTAATGAGCTGCAGCATTACAGGGCCCTCCTGTGAGAATACATAGGCCACTCCAGGAACTAAACTGATGCAGTGGAGGGTGACTGAAACTATAATGCCACGGTGCCCCACCCTTTAATTTTTCTTCCTAAATTTCTCAAGAGGAAGGGACGTGATTTACTTTAACCCACCAAAGATAACTCATGCTGCACAAGGCTACGGCTGTGGTTTGAAGACAAAGTGAGTCACAGCTCAACACTTCCCTGTTCAAAGTTGTCATGGAAACTGCAGAGCTGACAAAAAATGTTAAATGGTATGGTGGAGACCAACGGTGACGGAATTAAAAGAGGAAATGCATCGCTGCAGCTTAGACCTAATTTTTGTGAGAAACTTCGAAGAAATATTATTTTCCAGCCTGACTCAGGGTCTGGGGTTTTCTGGCATCTAACTCCTCCCAAAAGTAAAAAAAAAACATGGATGTTATATTTGATCAGCTGCTTAAGTAACCCAAAGTACATTGGAAGTTATTTTAAAGTGTGGACTTACTTTATTCTGCTCAATCATACAGAGGAGTTAAAAGAATATACAAGACTTCTGTCCTTGGCCTTTTCTGTTTTCTGCTGCGACAACATCTGGCTGAGTTTAAATGTGCATATTCAACATAGAGAATAGCTTAAACAGGTTTGGCTCGAGTTCTCTTATTCCTGGCCTTTCTTCCTGTTATTCTGTCTGTCCTGAAAGCGTTTTCCTGTCACCTGACGGTCGGTGATAAATCACAGAAATATGGAAAGAGGCTAAAGGAATCAGCAAGGCACATTCTGGTTCTCTCTCTCTCTGCACAGTTTGTCTTATGCAAGTACAGTTTCCCTGTTAACCCAAATGACACAGTGGCTTATTTTGATCTGACACTATTGTTGCAAAGCTGACATCAGAAAATTCTTATGTGGGTTGCAATTTTTTCCACATACACCTACAGAAACATCTTGCGGACAGTGAAATGTTGTGAAGGACAAGCGCTGGTTCATATCAGATGACTGCTTACTCACACAGGCTCTAAAAAGATAGGCCAGTGGGTGGGAACAGATAGATTTCACTGCCTCCGGCTTGTGGGCTCTTTGAGTGCAGTGCTAATGGCTAAGTGAAGGAGGCCCACTGCCACAGAGGTAATGAACAGGCGTCGCTGGTTATGTGGCACCGAGCATCAATGGCTAATCAAGATGTTCACATCCAGATTCCCACAAACCGCATTAGATAAATCGCACTAAAGCTTTGATGGCGGCAGGGTTCATCAAGCTGAACATAGCAGGGCTTCTTAAAACCCTAAAAGGCAGTTTACATACAGTGTCATCCAAGTAGTGCACCAGTACAAAGTTAAGGAAAAGTAATACATTACATTATAATACCGCAAATTAAAAGAAAATAAGTGAGCCTTCATTTATAGTCTGCCTTTGTTTCTTTGATACCCATAATCAAATTTAGTTACAGGGAATCAGTAAACAGAAGCCACTTGTTTGTAATCTCATCAGCAAGATCCAACTGTTAGTTTGCTGGAGTATATTTTTTTAACAAAATGAAGAATGGAGACACAAAGGAAAAGTTAAGAAAAAAAAGAGTTCAATTGCACAATACACCAGGCACTCTACCATCCAACATCTAAGATTATGGCACAGCAGAGAACCCACCAAAAATGACAGGATGGGCATGGTAAGCATTAATCTGGGAAGCACAAAAAGACCCATGGTAATTCTGAAGGAGCTAGAGATCCTGGGATCAAGCCTTTTAACAGATTGCTGGAAATCCAATAGGGTTCATACCAAACATGGAGGAAAGTGGTTAAAGCAGTATAATATAGGAAGGACGCCTTTTAGAGGCTACAGAGTGATTTAGAGGGTTCTAAACCCAAAACACCCAGAGCTATGATGGAAATATTTACATTAAATGGTCCAATCAAAGTACAGACCTAAACCCAGTGTAAAAACTAAAGCCAGGTCTGACTAAACTTGAGCTGTTTTACGAAGAAACGAGGGCAAACATGTCAGTCTCTAGATATGCAAAGCTGGTGTTCACAGAAAACTGAAAGACTTGACACTTACTTAAACTTAAAATATATATTATTTCTATAGTGTTGGAGTTGGCCTGTAATTTAAAGTGAAACCCACACACTCTTGATTAATTAGCAGAAAAGCTGGACTAAGTGCAGCTAGGAAGAGTAAATCTCAAGTACATCAAACATTGTTTCTGTAAAGAGCAAAGTAACAGACCTTTAAAAGGGCCACTCTGTGGTGCCCAGTAAGGGTTTTACTGCAAGGTCCAAATAAACACTGATAAACGTTTAAGCTGCAGGATTTGGCTGAACAGCAGACCAGACAGGGACTCATGAAGTGGTGGTGCTGAAGAGGTTTTACAGGAGAGATAAGAAAGTGGAGGAGGTGTTGGCATGATACTTGGGTTCATGACTGATCAACAGGCTGAGAAAAAAAGCAGAAACTTAAAGTAAAGAAACTTTTTAAATCTTTAATTAAAAACTGCAAAATATAAATACAAATTTTGGTGATATTTACGTTATAACAGACCCACACGTTCTTTCTCACATGACATCCAAACATCAACAACATTTTTCTGTCAGTGTACAGAGCGGAAAGGCACCGCCCGCCAGGTGTTACATGCAAACGGGTAAACACCCTTGCATCACTCATCAACCAGGAAGTTGATGAGGGCAGTCCTGGGTGAGAGGATGGCTCTCTTGATGCTGCGTTCGCTCAGAAGCTTCTGTCCAATGGGACTCTCCAGAACCAGCTGCTGGACCCGGCTGGAGTCTTTGGACACCTGCAGAGGGATCGTCACTGTGCCGCACGGCTTGTTGTTTATCTGAAGGCAGGAAACAGGAGGAGATGAGAGAATGTTCCAGTTCTTCCTCTGAGAGCTTCTCCCATCATCTGGCAAACATTCATCCACATGAATCTCAATTCCTTCTTAGAAAAAAGAAGAAAAAAAAAATCTTAAAATAACCTGCTCCGGCTCTATGTCCGCATATACAGCACACCCTCTCTAACACATAGTTAGTGGTAGGTATTGGAAGGCCACTTGCTGGTGTGTTTAGAGGCCAGTGTATGCGTCCCCCCGGTGAATGTAATCACGTCTCTGGAAGTGCTTACAAATTAATGGTGTGTGGGTGCCTGTGTACGTCTGGGGCCCCTCAGTCTTGGCCTCTATTCTCTCTACAGTTTGTCTCGTGTACTTGGGACATGATTAGTAGAAAGAGTGCGAGGAAGCTCAGTCCAACGGGAAACCAACCACATTATCCTTGATGACTGGGAGTTCAAATGTGTGCGCTTGCTCTAAATTTGGAGGAGAAGGACTTTAGGAAAATTTTCATCTCCGCCTTTAACATCTCTGTGGGAGATGCAAAAACTTGGTTTAAAAATTTAAATTAGAGTAGAGTCTATCCGCTTAATAAACACAAATAAAATATCACTATTTGTCATTGGTGGCACAGTGGGCTTCAGGTCAGGTTAAAGGATAAGAAAGAAAAATCGGTGACCATTGATTGGTGATATCTGGACAATGGATCCTAACCTCTGGCATATTGTTTTCATTAATACCCTATCAGAACTTTTCATAAATGAATTAGCTAACCAATCAACCATCCAACCTGTCTGTCTAGAGTTTTTTTATGTTTCAAATACCTAAATAGATAAATAAAATTGTGATTCACCAATGAGAGCTGCTGACAATAACAGGCTAGTCAGTAAAAAAAAACAGTAAATCAAGTAAAAAAAAAAAAAGAAATTCATGGTCACTAGTGTTAGCTAACGGCTTTTTAACACTAAACTGCATTAATCTATCTCATATCAGGACTAATTATCCTTCCCCAGAATCTATATTTATTAGATATTAAGACGCTTCATCACCTACAGTCTGCCACTAATGAAACCAAAGCATTGCAATGCTAGAGAGTGAGAGCCATGACAGAAACCTAAGAAAACATTCTTTCTTTTTGTTTTTTTCAATTAGATTTTTAGATATCGTATATATTAGCGTTGAATATTTATGTTTAGGGATCAGAAAAATGTATATTAACTTTGATTGTCAATATGAGCATTCAAACAAAAAAGAAAAAAAGGTGGAAAGGCAGCCAGAGTGCAAAGAACTTTTACAGAAAGCCTGAAGAGCTATTTTTATTTCTGCATGTGACTGTACAGCCCAAATAACTCTGACTGATAATAGAGGCTTAAAAACAGCTTGCTTTAATCTCTTGAACCAATTTGTCTATTCATGCTAAGTCTCGTTGCCCTGCTTGTTAATTTAGCTTTTCCTAAACTTAAACCTGCTTTTAATCTAACCACAAAACATGCCTGAAAGATTTACACCACATAGATATCCTTTCTAAGCCTCATAGGGAAGACACACCCTCATGATGTGACAGATTTAGGTCCCCAAAACATGAGTAATAACTAAGCCACACACACACACACACACACACACATACACACACTATAATTCCGTAACATTTGCTGAAAGCAAAGACTTTCACTGTTTTTGAGCTCATAGGCAAACCAAGAAAAGAACTCCAGAGAGGAAATACCAGAGAGGAATAACACTGCCATTCTGCTACCGACTTAATTGGGACCAACATGTACCTCTAGCTTAAAGTGCACCACATGCCTTGCTGGCACATAACTGACACACAGGTATTTGCATGAATGTAGTCATGTGCACAAAGGCTAATTATAGCCTCTGCTGAAAATTACAGAGTTTAAATGTAATCATGAGAGAAAATATGGAGTTTGAGTGGAAAATGAGCAAGGTGTTGGTGTTCAAGGAAAAGCTTTGTTTATGGCAGAAATTAGAGGGAAAAAATGCAGCTTCATTTATTTTTTTAACAACTACATTGTTCGTCTGATGGCAATGAATCAAAATAAATTGTGTCTATTTGTCCAAACAACAAGAAAAAAAAACATATCTATGAAATATATCCAATTAGCCAGCTGGATTATTAAAAGAACAGCTTTGACAGTGCTAATAAATTAATTTTAATAACCAAAATAAAAAAAATACCTGTCAAAATAAGAGATTCAGTCTTACATAAAACAGTTTTAGTGGTTAAACGTCAGAGATCAAAAGAGTTACAAGGACCCTTGAAATAAAAGTTCACAGACACTTTTAAAAGCAACCAAATCAACAAATGGTTTGAAATTACTAGAAGAACCATATAAGCAATAGGAAATGTATAATGTTGGAATTTCATAATAAAGCTTAAAAACACTTTAGAATTTGGCAGACTACAGAAGGTTGCCACTTTTTTACTTTAACTTTATCTGTTAGCTCAATGAGATAAAAATGCATTTCAACACAAAGCTTGATTAAAGACTTCAAAATAAAAGCCCCAATGTCTCATTTATTATTTTGCAACAGTAGGCTCTACTACAACATTAGCGGAACACACATAAAAAGCGGAAAGTGCTTAAGTTTTACAAATGAAGGTCGAAAATACACTTCAAATGTGTATATTCAGTATATTCATCGTTAATGCAAAAGTGAATCCCACATTACTAAGAAAGGAAAACTTAAAATAAAGCTTAAACGTACTCTCAAAAAAGGAATTCATATAAGATGGATAATTATAACTGAGGATTTATTACTGAACATAAATGGAAAAAAAATGCTCAACTTTCAAAATTCTAAATGAAAAATCATCAAATTGGAAGTTTTCATTTAATGAAAACTATGAGAGCATTTTTCATATTACTTGTGAGTTTTAAAACCAATTCTAAGATATCTTAGTCTAAGCGAGACATGATGGAAACATTTGGTTTTAAACAACACTAAGTAACAAGTGGCAGAAACTATTAAAATTTCTTTAGGGAAGACTGAATCCAATTTTTCCACTTTTTTAATGTTTTCAGTTTAAATAAACACATAAGTGCAGTTCTAAAAGCATTTATACAACCCTACCAGCACGGACAGCTCCACAAAGTCAGGGGCCTCCAGATACTCGGTGTCCACAATTGGCCAGGGCTGCTGCAAGACATCCCCTCCCCGCAGCAGGAGGGGGCTGAGGGGGTTTTTCACTGAGCAAAGGCCTTGGTGAGAGAGAACACAAGAGTGTATTCAGGCTAAATATAGAAGTTCATAGTTACTGTTAAACATCTGTAAAAATGTTTTATCTACAACGTAGAGAGAAATATGGTGAGGGAAAAAGGGCCAAGAAATAGCTGCGCTATCCCAAGTTCCTGACTTCCAGTTAAAGCAAAGTGTGCATCGTTCTGTATACAGAGGAAGGATGTGTACTTCCTCCTTCCTGATATGCGTGTGTGTAAAATTACACCCCCCCTGCCAGTGAAGGGCTGACCAGATCTGAGTCCAGCAGAGGTCCTTTTTCTCTCTTGTTTATGAACTGTTCTACACACCGACCTGTGTCAGCGAAAACAAAACAGAACGCGCCATCCTTCCTTCCAGCCATCATCTGTCAGATTGCTCTGATTCAGCCCATCAGCTCGACCTGTGTGCTTCTCCAGAAATGCTGCTTTCTCTCTCTTGGTGTGTTGAAAGCTTTGGTATGTATGTCATTAACAATAGAACGCAGCACCAGGCAAAGTTTCTAAACACGGTGCGAAAGGTGACTGTAGATTTTCCTCTCCATTGTTTAATCCAGAAACTCTGACAGCCCGGACTGTTAAACAGAGACTTAATGTATTACAGTTAAAATGTTCCGCATCAATCTATTATTACCCTGAGAAAGAGATGTAAAACAACCTCATAAATACATGAGTCTTTTAATGTAGTGGCCAACCTTTAAAATGAAAACACTCAAGAAAAAAAGGTAAATGTAACTGGAGCCTTTTGTTTCAATTAGTAATTTACTTTCTTCAAAAAACATTATAAACATTATAAAGATTATAAACCCAGCTTCTTTGGGGTATAAATAAAGGCCCGTGTCTAAGAGGCACTACCCTCAAAGCTAGATGAGGAGCTGAGAGCAAATCTCCAACACTTACTGATTCCATAACATTTATTAGACGCTATATATGCTAGCTGGTTGTTGATGGGACAACCCTGGCCCTTTCCTACTATTGCAAACATAAACTCTACAGAGAACCATTGATTTGGATTAGGTAAGGATAAGATTGAGTCTGCAATGTTTAGCCACTAACAACGGATGAACATGTCAGAAAGCATAGCATGTCCATTGTTAAACATAGAGGAGGATCTGTGATGCTATGGGAATCCTTCAGAGTAAAACACTAAAGCGCCAATTTCTACAGTTGTTAGCATAAGATTATGCTTCTGCAATAAAGGGTGAATATATATCAAGGCGCATCTTAAACCAAAAGTTCATTAACTGATTTGGCGCTGACATTTTTGTTCAACTGTAAAAAAAATATTTATTTCCACCCTAAAGGCTGTTACATCAGTGCTGGGTGCTCACTGGAATTAGAAAAGCAAATTTCTATGTTTATCACATGTTTCCTCCTCTTACATGATGCAAAATAACCTCATTTTATTTTGAGCTACAGAAGCTACCTTAATATTTCATGCACATTAAAGGGATGTCTTCTGATTTTAATTTGTAGATGAATATTTCTGAAATGTTTGAGAAACTCAGGGATATAGAACTAAAACTAGCCATCCTGTTTCTCTCATAAATGCAAAGTAGATGATGGATACATTTCCATGTTGATAACCACACAACATGCCTGGGATTGTTTGAGCCGCAACGAGCAGAAACGTGATCACTGACCTGCCCAAAGCTCAGAGGCCAAGTGGGGAGCCATGGGTGCTGCCATTATAACCAGTGCGGCCAGCGCTTCCTCAAACTCCACACTGTGCTGTAGGACTCGAACTGTGGCACTCTAAATATACACAGAAACATGGTCAATGTGTGAGACATAGCATGTTTTCAACAGTAACTGAGACAAGCATAAAGACAGACACACTCACACTTAATGTGTTGGTGAGCCCCATTAGACGGGATAAGGCTGCGTTGAACAGGAAGTCTTCCGTGAAGTGAGTCGTCACCTGAACATATGAACACAATAAGCTGATTAGAGCAATGAAATTGATTAGTTGCATTTAAATATTCAGGTGGACGAATGGAAGTACGCTAAGAATAGCCTTCTTCTTTTTAACTGTAAACCAATCAGGTTTCAGCATTCTAATGTAGCCTTGTGGAGAAATGGACCCGTTTTAGGAAGCCTGGGAAGAAGATGGATCAGTGTGGCTTTTCTGTGAGATACATCAAAGGACAGCCTCTGCTTTAAGGTCTTATAGTAAACAGCCCGAGGTCTATTAAAACCGATGCGAGGGGGGGGGGTCCAACCTGGCAGCCAAAGGGGAGCTATTTATAAAGTGTGAAAGGAGACACAGTGGATTTAAAATCAATTTCCATCCTCTTCGGCTGCAGCTCTGTTCTCCTGGGGTTTCAGGTTGCGTCAGATTCATCAGCACATGACCAGGAAGCGTGTAATGAGTGATATATTACTGACGTGCAACTTTATATACTTTGTAACTAACAAGCTGGCCTACGGTTCTGGGTGTGAGGTAAAGGGCTGTAAAATGCTTTTTAAGCATGTAGTCCAGCTTAGATTGCTCGTTTTAAAAAGCTGTACCATCTTACTCTGCCAAATCTAGACTAGATGATCTCCCACTACATACAATTTCTTAAATACAGTTCACGAGCTGTTATTCTTGGATTATGTGTGCAAAAAATAACTAGAAGGCTTTAATATTTAACAGTCAAATGTTTAAAGCATCTAGAGGCATTAAAATCGCCTATTTTTAGTATGTTGGAGTATTCTCTGTTGTAACTCTAAAATTAAAGTGATCAGTGAAATTGGGCAAAAGATAAAAGCACTTATTTTCTAAAGAAATTGTCATTTATATTTTAAGTAATGAAATAAGGACTGAAGTCTGTAACATGCAAAAATTTCATGATCACCAAAATCAATTTTACCTCCTTTTCCACAATTTCCAGAAACCCTGCAATGTATTACAGATACAGAGAAAATCTCCTTTCACTAGAAATTAAAAACTTTTGTAAGAAAATCAGAAGAAGTACATTTCCCAGAAGACAAACATAATTATACTAATATGAGATGCCAAAAAGGAGCTCATCCCTGCCCTCTGCTGGTAAGAGCTCCATCATTTTTGTTGTGAAGTTGTTGAGTTGATTTTCAAAACACAACAAAATCTTTGTCATCTTTTATGACGGATCATAAGCACTTAACTAAAGCTACAGAACACCCACCTCTTGAACTGCATAGTTCTTGTTTTCCCAGATCTTCCTGACCTCTGCCAGCTCTTTCTTTTTCAGCAGGGAGGGGTTTGGGACGTCACCGAGCTGTCGAGCTCCTCTCAGCTTCGTCACAAGCTGCCAAAGTCGAGACTGCCAGCGCAAAACCCCTGGGAGTGCATCCGCTGGAGAGGGGAAATGCAGACATGAGGATGTTTCCACTTTCCAGTACATTCTAACCTGACTCTTTTTCTAGATAAATAAATGCATCTGTGTTCTTTTGTAGTAACATCCAGGCTCACTTTTGACATTCCAGAGGATGTCTTGTTCAGGCGGTGCAGCGTAAAGGATGTAGAGACGAACAGTGTCCACACCGTACTGCTGCACAACCTCCTGAGGGTCCAGCCCATTGTGTTTGGACTTGCTCATCTTCTCAAAGGTCACCTCCACACTGCCACCGCTCAGAGCCACAGGCTCCTTTCCTGGACAGCAAAACCTAATGTTTCATGAACTCATTTTTTAAAGGCAACAACATCAAACTTGTCATGTTAACACATTAAATATTAGAATTTCATTCACCTTGTAAACATTGTGTTTAGCAAATTTGGTAAAGAGAAGTAAAAACTACAGTACCTTGCAAAAGTAATCATGTCACTTGAATTAAACATTTTCTCATGTTACAACCAGAAAACTAAACTGCATTTAAAAATGAACTTAACTCTTAACAGGGGGGAACAAAAATAATGGTTTTCAAATGTTAAAAGAAAAAATGTGTTTGTTTGTATCATGCCCCTTACTTTTGATACCCCTTTATAAAATCCTATTGCTCTGTGAAGGCCTAGGGGTTTGTTGTTCTTTACAGAGAAATAACCTCATGAGGACCAGGTAACACAGAAGCATTAATCAAAGCAAAAGAAAATAGTTTCATGGTAACTCTGGAGGAGCTGCAGAGATTCAAAGCTCAGATGAGAAGAAGTTATTAAAAGAATTAGCTCATTCAAAAATAGAATCCACAATTAGATAAGTGGCTAGCAAAGAGGTAATGATTAAAGGGAGGTACAGGGATAGAACTAGGGCTGAAAACGTTAATTTTGATTAATCGTTTATTGAAATAACCATCAACTAATTTAATAACCGATTAATCATTAACTGGAGTGTGGAGACTTAAAAACGTGAATTTAGCTGATAGAGTGACCCACCTTGAGGAGCAGTTTACCAAAATTGTATTCATTCTCATCTGTCAATATGCTTTATCTTATTTTCTTTGAGGAACCTTTTGCTATCTGAATATTAATCGATTAATTTAAAAACATAATCCATAGATTAGTTTATTGGCAAAATAATCGTTAGTTTCAGCCCTAGATAGAACCTGTTAGCAGTCTGCCAGACGCATTGTAGGCAAATGGCAAACATTTGGAGGAAGGTGTTCTGGTCAAATGAAAGCAGTAATGGAGCAGTTTAGATCACAGCATATCTATGTGCTAGAATGTCCTAGTTAAAGTCCAGAGAGAAAATGAAGAAATGTACAAAAAAATAGATCTGAAATCCATGTATTTTTCCATTAGCTACACATTAATACACCACTTTATGTTTAGTTCTGAAGATATTCTCAATATCTCTAACTAACATGGAATCAGTGGTTGAAAAGCAACAAAATATGAAGGTTAAAGTGTATAAACCCCTTTGCAAGGCACTGTATGATTAGACCAGGGACCTCTAGTAATCCAAGATTGGAATAAAATTAGACTACTGAAATTATTCAGATTTCTACTGTGTTAATTAAGGATTACCAGGCATTAATGAAGTATAAGAAAAATAAAATCTATCAAAAACAATCACCCTCACCCATCTGTTGAAAGTGATGTACCGGTGTTTACCTTGGAAATCTATTTCCTCTCTCTTCAAATACTGCCCGCTGTCTGCCAGTTTAAATGTCTGACCTTTGATCAGACCCTGTACCAAAAGTTTCCAAAACGGCTCCCTGCAGAGCAGAAAGTTCATAAGCTGATGTGCAAATTAAATATGCATGTATGCCAGGAGCAGATAAGCCAATGCAGCCCACCTGTGAGCCACAAGACCTTGGTCTTTGCAGAAATGGCAGAGGAAGCGGGCGTAGTACAGGTGCATAACGGCATGCTCCTTCCCACCGATGTATACGTCAACAGGAAGCCAGTGATCGGCGAGGTGACGCCTAAAAGGCCTGCAGAGGGAAGCTACAATTAATCAGCTGGAAAATCTGAAACCTCAAACCACAACATTGAAATAAATAACTTACAAAGACAGACAACTTTGTTTGTACTCTTAGACCCTAAAAAATCTCATTCTAATTTCTCCTGAAAAACATTTAAGTTAAAAGGAATATTCCAATATAAACATGCATTCCTTAAAAGTACATTATAGTGGTTTAAAAGTCGAATATTTATTTGCTTTTCCAAGATGCCAAAGACACTTAAGTCTTGTTCAGTACATAATCATGTTTTTAGCCGCCTATTAGTATTGGTACCTGGTGCCTTCAGACTATCAATCAGCCATAAGGCCTATTTAGAAGGATGGAGCCTGTTACTGGGTGACCAGAGGATGTGTGATATCTAAGGTAAAGGCTGCAGAACACCCTCTAAGAAGCTTCATGTTCAAGTGAAAACAGCTCTGGCCAACCTCCCAGCATGCTAAAAGGAGAGAAAACAGTTGATCAATTGTATGGATGGCAGCGAAAAAACACCCAAGTAGTGATTTCACTCTTATTAAACTCCAGAGTCAATGGAAACCACTTTCTGATAGCCTGATCCATTGCATTATGAACTATAATGGGCTTTGTGTAAAAAGACCCAGGAGAGCCCATTAACAGGACAAACAGCAAAAAAGGAAAAGAGCTGAAGCCTTGGCCCTGTTTGGCACTGACAGGAAGTGGGCAGCTGTCAGTGACCGTGAACACATCTGTACACCAAAGTATTCAAAGAGTCAAACATGACGCCATGTTTCCAACAGCTGAAGCTCAACACAGTCAAAAAATAAAACCAGGACTTTGAGAGACGGGCAGCTAATCGTCAGTAAGCAGCAGAATCATTCAAACTGACAATAGAGTGAATCTGATGCTTAGATGCTTAGAACATATTATTTTATTAAAAATATCTTCTCATTAAATCGGAGTAGGAGGGTAGACATGTTTTGTTCCTACTATGTATTTGTAGGTGAGCTTCAGCCCCAGTCGTACTCAGCTGCTCCTGCAGAGGGCAGGCTGATTCTGACAGACATAATCCTGATACCTCCTCTTCACTCTCCCCGAGAAAGAGATGTGAAGATGTTAACACTTAAGTAAAACTGTGTGCTTGGATGTCGACAGGATGGCTGCATGTGGTTGGCCTGGGTCCTGAGATAATCAGCAGTAATGGCGCTCTTTAAGGCAGGCTGATATCTCACAGTGTCTTTTTTTAACACCAGTCATTTGTCTCCTTCACACCTCTCTGACTCTCACCTTCACTCTATGGCTGATACCCCATCAGCCATAGAGTCCAGATGAGGAAAAAACAAAACAAAAAAAAAAACAACAAAATGTGAAACAATTTAGCTCAGGCATCAGGCAAAGGAGGCACGGTATGCAGCCACACAGAATGCCACATAAGCTACAAATCTCATCTGTTTCCTCAAACTTTGAACATCTATTATTTCTTTTCATCTTATTTCCTCTCTGTGTGAGAGGCTCAGCAGGCTGACTGAAATGCACAAATAGTGTAATTGCTTTTTCTGTTATGCCATAATCTGTCCGGCTCTCTAAAGCAAAGAAGAGAGCAGTCCGTTTCATCGCAAAGCAGCTTTGCTGTGAGGTCAGGGCGCTGGGAAATTAATCTCTTTTGTTAAGCTGCGGGTATCGCCACCATCCCAGCAGGTGACGGAAATGGCACCATAATCACTGTAGGAAGAGAGAGAAACTTTAACTGTGTGTGCATAAACATGGGCAGTGTTGGATAATTTAGAGTGGAAAACCTGAAAGGAAGTTTGAAAAATGCTAATTAAATTGGATTCAGATATTGACCAAATTCACATTCAGGCTTCCTACCCGATTGTCAGGTCAGAATTTTATACTTTGACCTAATAAAAATGCTGAGTCATAAACATAACTTTCCAATGAATTCATTTGTGTAATTTCATTTATTTGGTAGTATTAAATTACTTTGGCTCTAAATTAGCTGCACACATTTAGTTAACCTTTGTACTTTTACTTCTCTTAAACACCTAATACAATAGAGGACAAACAGGTGGACTTTTAAAGCCACACTTCGGCTCATTCCAAATTCGTTAAATCGGTGAGGGCACTACAATTCAATTCAGTTTATTTCTATAGCGCCAATTAACAACACCTGTCATCTCAAGGCACTTTACGGTTCAACCAGATAACACAGTCAAATTGATTTAAAGTTTCTATCTAAGGAAAACCAGTTGATTGCATCGTCTCATTGACTTGAAGGCAATCCCTCACTCTAAGCATGCTTGTAGCGACAGTGGAGAGGAAAAACTCCCAGAAACCTCCAGCAGAACCAGCTCAGTGTGAGCGACCATCTGCCGAGGCCGACCGGGACACCTAAGCCAAAGAGGAAGCTCTTCTGTGATTCCCTCAGAAAAATGTTATCTGAATAGTCCTAATTGCAAGGAAGCATCTAGGAAAAGGAAGCGGTATGCTTCCTGACGTTAGTTCAGTCACCATAGAGACTTTGCAACCGATGATCCCTCTAAGCGGCATGCTTGCCAAATCACGCATTGCTCGCACATTGTCAGCGCATAAGAAAATCTAGGCAGTGCATAAAATCAAATCCAACATAAACTGTAGATCCATAACAATCTGAACCAAAACATTTATTACTGTATCATTTTGAATCTGCGTATTGAATAATGATGCCAGAAACAAAAATTCAAGATATGTAGAAGCTCTGGAGTCTGATTCTATTTGTACAATAAGAAAACATTTTAACCTGTAACTGGTCATGGTCCTCTGAGAAGCCAAGCTTTTTTTTAAACTAGTATAGAACAACAAACTATTGTTTCTCAAGCTTCTTATATTATATTACTAACTTGTATAAACTTACAATCTGTTTCCATTTTTAGCTGAAAAGGCTCTGTATGTCTAACGAACAGATTTTTCAGTGGTATGATCTCTCTTTTAACCAACCCGTCTCCTAACTTAAACATCAAAGTAGCTGCCGGTTAATATTCACTGAGTGCTGCTGTGTGTCTCTCCTCCAACCACGTAGCTACTTTGTACGCAGTGAAATGCGACCGCAAAGCAGATATCTCAAAGTGACAGATCCTATGATGTTAACCTGAGATGCGGGACATGGGAGCAGCGATAGAGAGGAAAAAAAGCACTGACTCAAAACCCTCTGAACAACGATAACTGCACCCAACTCTGTTACCTTTGTGTTTTTAAACAGAGATTATGTACAAATTCAAACAGAATACTGCAAATATAATCTCATGCATAGTCTTTTGTTAGAGCCGTAGAAGTAACACCAACCTGTCTGTGTTATGAGGGTCTGTATATCTGAAGTAATACCAGGCAGAGTCCACAAATGTGTCCATGGTGTCAGTCTCCCGCCTGGCTGGACCCTTACATCTGACAGGAGAGAAAAAACATAGAGAGTTGGCAGAAGCGTGACCACAGTTAATATAAGCCAAACAAATCAGAGCAAATGAATTAGCATGTTTCTGTGTTCAGACAAATGTGCTTGTTTGAGGGTCTAAAACTGACTCCATCTGGCTGAAAGGGTCATGTCTCTGCAGAGCAGCATGGCTGAAGCCTGACTGGCACCACAGCTCTGTTCCTGTTCCCTATTAACAGGCTGTGCTAACAAGACAGGCCGCGTCTCCAATGGGGTGTTTGAGTTGGAAATGCCACTCAGTGGTCCCTTTTCATCCAAGCCAAACAGTTCTTTGGATGCAAAATGCTAATCTGCCAACTTTGAAAGTATAGCAAAGGACGCAGACAAAGACTTTCAGAGATAAGTACCTTCGGAGGATGTTTTCCTTCTTAGGAAATAAAACATTTCACGGAACAGTGAGTGTCTAGCTTTTAGTTTCTAATGAGTCTCAGCTGATTTAAAATCAGAGTCCCTGAAAGGTAAACAACAACAAAAACCTGTTCAGGTCTTCTTTACCACAAAGAGAGGAACGGCTGGTGCAGCTTCTCTGTCACTGTCTGTCGAACATTTCCTGTCTCTTAACTTTAAATCATATATTAACAACCAGACACACCAAGAGACAAAAACACCTCGACCACCTACTACACCAGTCTATAATAAGGCTGTAATGATGAGGTAAGAGCTGGTGGTTGCTAGGCAACAAGGCTAAGGTGTAGCAAGGTTAATGTTTAGAAACCAGGTGTTGTTTTATAGGATGAAAGCTAAGCAGCCTAACAAAGAATCAGTCATCAATAAAGTCTCTTCAAGTAGAAGAAATGATATGAAAGTATGCATGAGAAAGTATCTTGTATAAACTCTTCTTATTTGAAGGTCAGCTGATTGCTGGAATGCAGATAAAGTGCAAAAGTAGTAAATAGTGTTTTCATTTTTCACATTTTTTCAAATTAACACCACAAATTTCAGCACAAGTATAGCATAATTTGCTAAGTATAAAAACTCGACACTCATATATAACATACAGTGGAATCAAATGCGTGTACTATCCAGCTAAGATGACAGGATTATTGGTACTCTGGAGGAGCTGCAGAGATTCATACTTCATGTGGAAGA